TCCTCCACCCCCAAACACGGGCTGGCTTTCACCGTGGGCCGCTGACCGCGCCTGTTCTGTGTGCTCCCGGGGCATGCCAGGAAGGGAAACACCCACCCAGGATGGAATTCCTAGCACACTCTCATCCAAGAATGGTTCTCCCCATTCTTTCTTTGCCAGCCTGCCTACAGGGGAGGAGGGAGGTGGGTCAAGGGTCTTGGCAGTGTCCCCAGGGACTTCCTTCCCACGTCCTGAAAAGGTGGAGGTCTCCTCTCAGAGCACTTTGTGGGAGAAGTGGCCTCCTGGGGTCTTGGCCACAGCTGGAACAGAAAGCCTTCCATGGGAGCCTCCTACCGGGCAGTGGTGGTCTGTCCTGGCGGCCCTGGCTGGGAAGGGAGGAGGAGAGAAAGCAGACACCGTGGCTCCTAAAAGAAGCATTCTCAGTGGGTGGGGACTTTTGTTCTTGCAGGGGAGGAGGCCATAAGCAAGGCCTGGACATCTCACCCCTGGGATCCAGAGGGATGCATGACCCCACTGCCTGTGCTTGAAAAATGAGGGGCTGGGCCTGCTTCCCACTTCCTGTGAGGACCTTGTAGCCTTCAGAGTCAGGAGCTCTGGGATAGGGGTGCTGAGCCAGGGGAGCTTGCCAGGCCCCACCCCTGCCGGCTCCAGTGGGCAGTCCCCTGCCGTGGGAGTGGACTGTAGCTTCACTCTGCTGGCCCCAGACATCTGCACCTCCCAGGCTATTGGGATGTCAGGCCTGAGAAACCGAACTGTGACTCATCATCGGCTCGATGCACTACAAAATTAAAAAATAATGAAGCATTTCACATGCGACGGGTGAGCGAAAATTACAAAGTCTGACGCTACCAGAGGGGGACAAGGATGAAGAACAATGGGGACTTTCATAGGCTGCCTGAAAGAGTCAGAGAAGGTCCAGGTCTAGCCTGAAGCTTATTTATATGGTTTTGGAGCGGAGAGGGTTCTTTATAAATTAATTCAAAATTAGGCAGAGTCTTGGAAAGAGCCTGGGCAGGTGGAGGCGCTGAGCTTTCTACTAAGTCCCCTGCTGGGGTGGGTGAACAGGGATAACTCTTGGGGACCGTGGATACGTAACACCTGGGAAAACAGAAATGTGTGCCCTCTGACCCAGCGAGCTATATCCTCCCTGCATTCCCAGAAAAATTCCTGCAGCAATTACAAGAAGGATCTTGCCAATGTTGTACACAACAGCTAAAAGTAGCAAACCAGAAATAGCCAAAATGTCCACCAAGAGAAGAATCCATAAAGAGCATCAACATGTGTAAACCTCAAAACATCATGTTGTAGGGTTTGTGCAGGATGCTGCTGACATTAACAACACCAGGCTCATTGTCATAGTGCAGCCTGATAAGCTTCACCTTCAGCCTAGGGATATCCCTGAGGAAGAAGGAAGGAGAGAACAAGGTAACAAGGGGCCATCTAGCAGGCTTAGACACCATCGTATAAGCTTTATTTCCTTAACACTAAGAAACAAGGCAAAGCATTAGGCTTTGACAATTATTATTGTACGAGGGACTGAATCCAGGGTGCTTTACCACTGAGCTGCATCCCCAGCCATTTCTGTGTTTGTTATGAGACAGGGTCTTGCTGAGTTGCCCAGGTTGGCCTCAAGCTTGTGATCCTCCTACTTCATCCTCCCAGATTGCTGAGATGATAAGCGGCCAAACCCAGTCATCTTAAATCAACCAGTTGAGTGGTGTTCAACATGTTCCTAGTGTGGTGTAGCCTTTACCTCTATCTAATTGCTCCCCAATTCCCACCTCCCTGAGTTCTTGAAAAAACACCAGGACGTGTTCTGTCTCTACAGATTTACCTCTTTGGGATATTTTATATAAATAGAATCTTACAATCTGTGACCCTTTCACTCTGTATACAGTTTTTTCTCTTCTTTCTTTCTTTATTTGTACCAGGGATTGAACTCAGGGGCACTTAAACACTGAGCCACATCCCCAGCCCTTTTTGATATTTTATTTAGAGACAGGTTCCCACTGGGTCCCTTAGGGCCTCCCTAAATTGCTAAGCCGGTCTCTGAACTTGCCTTAGACTCTGGGGATTAGGGGTGTGTGCTACCACACCCGGCTTCTGCATTCAGTTTTCAAGGGTTCCAGGCAAGAGCTGCTTTCAAGGTTGGTCACTTCTGTAAGATGAATCAGAAATGCATTCCTTTCAATTACTGGATAATTTTCCACAGTAGGGATCTATCCTAAGTTGTTTATCCAATTCATCCATTGATGGGTACCTGGACTGTTGGCCCCTGTGGGTCATTGCGGATAGGGCTGCTAGGAACACATGTACTTATTTGAGTCCCTGGTTTGAATCCTGTGGTTGGGTATGTAGGGGTGGAATTGCTGGGTCCTAGGGTATTTTTTGAGGAACCACCAAACTGTTTTCCAAGGTATCTGAACTCTTATATTTTCAGAAACAATGCACAAGAGTTCCAATATTTTTCCATACCCCAATCAACCCTGTTATTTTCCACTTTCTTTTTGTTTGGAAGTTTTATCGAAGGCCTTGCTGCTGGACCCATTTAAACCAGAACAGCCAGCCTAATGGTGTGAAGCAATATGCCCCATGGCTTCCATCCCATTCCCCTGGTGACTAACATGGCAGAGTATAATGTGTGTTTGTGTGTCTGTTCAAGTCATTTGCCCATTTTCTAGTTGGGTTTTTTTTGTCTTTTTGTTGAGTTGCTTCATAGTCCACGATTTAAGGAAACCCTCCCAGGGGCAGCAGGTGCCTCTCAGGCCCTTTTCTTCTCTACTCCTTCCTCACGTCAAAACATGCACAGCTCCATGTGCACCATCCATGCAGAGGAAAACCTGAAGGGTTAGTGTGCACCTCTTCTCCACCCCCAGCAGCGGCGACCCTGCCTCTAACACAGAAAGCAAGAAAGATACTCAGAGGTAGAGTAAGATGTCCAGGGCCTCCGGGGAAGCGACAGCTACAGGGGGAGAATGCAGAAGTGGAAGAGAAGCCATTTCTAAGACAGCTGAGAGGGAAATGGTATGAACCAGGGGAATTTATGCATTCTGGAAACTTCTACTACTGGTAGGTGATAAAACCAGGCTAGAGCAGTAAGTTTAACAGAAGGTTCTCATATTTGCCCCCCACCCCACAACTTTGACCAAAGATGGCGGTGGTGGGTTGGCTGGGACCCTCCTCCCCACTCCTCTACAGATTAGATCTTGCTGCCTGGCTGGGCTGTTCCTACCCTCAGGGGCACTCCTGCCCCCCTGCTGAGCCACTAAGAGGAGGCCTGGGAGCCCTGGGAGGTTGTCCCTTCTGGGAAGTCAGGGCAAACCATTTGCCTTCACTGAGCTCCATAGGGCTTTGAAGACTCTAAGTCACTCACAGGACATTCAAGAGACACTAAGATCTTTTTTGTTGACAAGCCTCTCTGCCCATCACATCTCACCATGAGACATGATTTCTTTGGGTCGCAAAGCTCTGCCTTTGTAAATACCTCTTTGTAAAGCCCTGAAGGAAGGACTCACTCCTTAGTCCCGGGTTCCAGACAAGAGCTGCTCATTTTCAGAAGTCCAACCTTGCACAGACAGGAGACGGGAAAGAGAAGCTCCCACAGGAACCTCATGAAGGAGGAAAACCCTGTGGGTATTCTCAGGCCTAGGCCAGACCCAAGGGCACTCCTGCACGGAGTCCATGTGCCTGGTGCTGTTGGGGGGTTTTGCCAGATAACCTGGAAGGTGGAAAATCCCCAGGTGGCCCCAGAGCCAGCTGAAGACCCCTCAGACCTTGAGCAACCCCCTCCCAACTTGGGGCCTGGCTGTCCCTGTCTATAAATAGTGGGGCTGGGCTCAATGGTGTCCAAGATTTCTTTTAAATATTACTTCCATGTTCTGGCTGTGCCCAGGATGTGAAGTCAACCTGGTTGAATGATAGCCCTGCCACGGAGCAACTGGGTTTCCCATGGCCCCTCTTCCAAGTCCTTCAAGGATGACACGACCTCCTCTCTTCTGTGTGAACACTTCCCACCATCAGACAAGAAGCTGGGGTCCTTCTCTGAACCTTTCCGCTTCCCACACTGTCCTCCTTAACCAAGCCTCTGGCTTCTGCACCCGGTGGGCACACACAGGAAAAGGTCTCCCCACCTGCCAACCACACCCACAGAATTAATAAAGCACACCCCCCCCCCAAATAAAGCGCCAGAGGCCCCCAGGGAGTTGATGCCGCTGGAGATCTAAAGCCTAGCGACACAGTGACACCTTACCAGGAACCCACAGTGAAAAGATCTTTCCTGCAGCCACAGGGGCTGCTCTGTCCCTTCAGCGCAAGGCGGGACCAGCCGCAGGTGCAGAGCCTTCTCCAGCCCTCAAGGTCAGCCAAGACATGGGGACTGCTCTTCGTCTGCTGCCTCCCCGCCCTCCAGGGGAGAATGACTACGGAGCAAACGCTGGCCCCTATTTTCCTAATTCCAGGTCAAATTTGTCTCACATACATTCATTCGTCGGAAACTTTTTTAAGAGTCCAGAAGAGAATAATTCGGATTCAGTTTCTCTTAATCTCTAAACTTCGGTCGGCAATACTAAGGTTTCTATTGCTGATTTCTTTCTTTTTCTTTTTTAAAACAAAACCCTGTTCTTTGAAAAACTCCAGGCATCCTTACAAGGACTTGGTCCGACTACAGGGCAAAGAGCGGGGTGAGTTTCCCCGCATAGCCAGGCAGAGCAAACTGGGCGCGCCGCCCTGAAGACCCAGCGCAGCGAGACCCCGCCAGGCTTGCTCCCAGCATCTGACCCGGGGTGCGAACTGTCATTGGTCTAGAAGGGAACAAAAGACTGGGCGGTGGGAAGGACTTTCTGAGGGTGGCCCCCTCACCCTGTGCGCGCTGCCTTGACGCTCCCGGGACCCGCGCAGCTTCCAGCTTGGGCCCGGATAGCTGCGCAGTGCAGCGAAAGAGCGGCCGCTCCAAGCTATCCCGTCCCCTCCCGGCCCTGGGGCAGGGCGCGCGCGCCACTCACAAACTCAAAGACGAAGAGCAAGTCTGGGAAGGTGGCGAAGACCGAGAAGCCACTGGGCAGGGAGCTGCCACCCGAAGCAGCTGCGGGAGCCATGCCGGCGAGCTGGCGTCGGCCTCGGGACTGGACGCGCGCGCGGCTGCGGCTCCGGCTGCTTGCTGACCACTCGCTTGCTGGAGAAGCCCAGTGGCCGGGCACCCCTGCGCGCGGGTTAAGAGCTGGGGCGTCCGGGGCATCGGAGGGCGGAGCCCCAGGCCTGCCCCGCCCCCGCCCCACCAGGGGACCTGGTCAGGGCGCCGCAGGCGCAGCCCAGAAACACACCCAGGGCACTCTGCGGACTCGCGGAGCCAGGGACCGGGACCTGATGCCCACGTTCCCCCCAGGGCTGCCACCTCTGCCGAGAGCAGGATCCGTGAGGCGCTTCGAACTTTGCGCGCCTTGCAGGTGATCGCAGTCCTTTAAGAATGATGGCCACCAATAGCCTGGTCTCTTAATCCTCCCCTAAGGGACCCCTCGGGTCACTATAGCTTTAACTCTTTAGTTGGGTCTCCATCTTTCCGCTGGGTGCTTTAATGTGCAAGACCTCCCCGTCCTGGTTCACCGTGGGGAGGGTTCCCGGTCCTAACCTCCGCTGCAACCTGCTGGGTCTGCCTGGGAGTCGCTGAGATGGCTCTGGCCATGGATGGGTCCCTTCTTGCGTGGTGGGAACCCAGCAAGGGGAACCTCGCACCCGCCCCGCCCTGGTCCTCTCGATGCAGCCGCTGTGTCTGAGTGAGGGCAGGGCTTGCTCTCACCTGCAGCGGTGCTGGGCAGGGTCACAGTGAATCTCTGCGGCAGGAAGGAGCATTGATAGAGATTGGAGGTGGGACGACCCCGCACCCCACCCCAAGAGCTTTGACTCTGTTGACCCTCGGGTTGTTTTATGTTTTTATCGTTCGTTCGTTGTTTTGCATTTTTTTCTTAACAATTTTGAAATTCTTATTTGCTTTTATTTTTAAACAAGCATCACACTCCCCTTGTTCCCCACTTAATTTACTATTCTCAGTATCACTGCCGAGTTTCCTTTACAACCCTGATAACGCCAGGAGGCAGTGGCGTCAGCTTTCAACTCACACCTGCACCCAGGGCCACTTCCCCCTCTAGCAGCTCTGTTCCCTTTCCAGCTGCTAGAGAGAGAGGAAAGGAAATTCCTTCACCTGTTTTCCAAAGCAGATGCCCTCTCCCTTGACTTATGAAAGGGACCAGGCATTTGAAATGAGAAAGTCCCATTCTGCCTTGGTGAGCCTCTTCCGGGTCTTCCACCTTGGTGTCTTGGAACTGGGTGTCACAACCCAGGGCAGGACCTCTTTGGCTATAAGGGGCTGCAGGGTTTTCTGGGGCCCTCCCCTCTTGTCTTCACTTATGCTGGGAGCCTTCCAGCTTGTAAAGTGGACCTCGTGGCTCCCAAGAGAACATCTTCCTCCCAAGGAAACTGTAGACAATTCTGAAAGCCAAGTGGCCACAGAGAGTCACCCAGGGCACAGGATGACAATAACCCTCCAGCAAATCCGGCCAGAGTGGCTTAGCAATTTCTCTGTGGTTTATACTAATTGGAAACTCACACAAAGCTCCTGCCCACTCAATACCATCTTTGCCCAGCCTTGAGGCTTAGCTGTGCTTTGGTTTGGTTTGTTATTTCACTACCTCTTTTAACCCTTTGTTGCTAAAGTCCTTCATGCTTGGGCCAGTGACTTTAGGGGAAAACCTGGTTCCTGGTACACCCCACGGAGGCTCCAAAGAGCCAGCCCTCCCTGGGTAAGGTATGGGTGGAGGAGTCTCTGCAAGACAATACAGAGGATTAGGAGGGCTCCTGGGTCCAGGACAGGAGGCTTGTCCTTATCTGGTGAGCCTTCATTTCACCTGGAGTCCTTTGCCTGATGTTCACCTTCTTTTCCAAACTCGAAACACTGTGGAATGTCTCCTGTCCCCATCCCCACCACCATTTCCTTCCCTGATGCAGTATATCCTTGGCAGTCAACCAGGGACCCAGCCCTGGGTTCTGTTCTCAGTAAATATTTCCCACTATCAGAAGGCCCCAGTCTCATTTGGGCCAGGTGCCCAGAGAAGAAGTGGAACAACCCGGGTTGAACATAAAGAGCACTGGCAAATCTAGATGGGCCTCTTCACTTGACAGCAAAGCCTCCCAGGAAGTTCTGGGACCCTCCTGATGATTTGGGAGGTTTGTATTTGTAAGAAGTCTAGGATCTCAACTTGGTTTCCAGCAGGATATGAAAAAAAAAAAAAGACCCACTTCAGCCAGCAATTCTCTGCAGAGGCCTGAGTCTTCCCAATAGCACAATGGGTGTGAATGCATGTAGGTCTGGCGTGGATCTGGGCTTTGTCAAATTATCTGATGTCCTAGTGCAGGTTTCTACCAAGTAGAAACTGGAGGTCACTATTGCTGTGCAGCTGAGTCAGGAAAAGGTCACCTCTGGCTTATGTGTGAATAGGGAGGGAACAGATGGGAGAGTGGGACATGTTCAGAGAAAGACTCATGGGGTAGGAATTGCCAATGAATAACAGCAAGGGTAATTTGGTTTTGAGGTCAGTAAGAGGACTCCCTCTTTAAGGTGAGGTAACAACCTCAGAAAGGTTAGACAGCTGCTTAGTGGAACTCAGCCTTGAACCTGAGGCTGCCGACCTCCAAAGCTGCAAGCACTTGATTGAAACCATGCTTGAGATGGGCAGACGCCCGTCAAATGCCAAGCTCCCTACATCATCAGGTATGGCCCTGGCCCTTGCTCCCTGGAGCATCTCTATGCTGCTGACAGGCCCTGGGACCTTCCCTCCCCTGACTGGGGATACAGGAAGGTGGGGTCATCTTCCTGGTACAGGTGAGAAAGCTGGGAACATGCCTGCTTCAGAGCTACCCAGAGCCGCACATTTTCACGGATGGCATGAGACACTGAGGACCCCTGCTGGGAGGATGGAGTAATGAAGCCACAGCTGCCTTGTCCCCAGATGTGGAGAGGAGCCAGCTTCACCAGGGCCTAAGCATCCAGCTCTGCCACAGCTACTTAGCCCACGTGATCTCATTTGGTCCCGGAGTCTCTCTGGTGGGTGTCGCCCCACCATCCAGGCTCAGAGTGGGTGGTAATATGTCCAGGTCACACGGTGGCCAAGCAAAGCTGTCCTCTTGAATCTAGCAGGCAGGCTGTCCCCACTCCTCTGTGCCCACTGTACAAAGCCACAGACTTGAAAACTAGAAGTGGCAGTTGTTCACCAGAGGGCTGTCCTCTGTTGGCCCCAGGGGGTGCCGTGTGCCCTGCCACCTCTAGGGACAATGAGCCGCAGAGTCGCTCGTTCTTCTTTCCCAGCCTCCCTGGGCTCGTGCTGTCTAGTGCTCTGGGATTCTGAGCACAGAGCTGGGCTGGCATCGTCTGGGAGTCTCCAGGAAGAAAGCAAGTCCTTCTCTCCTCTGGAGAGTTCTATCTGAAAGGGATGTCACACTCGTGTTGGTGGATACTTGGCCAGGCCCTCTTTGGGCTAGGTCTGCACTGGGCCCTTTCCCTGTCACCATAGGCCAAGTACCAAGGAGTGGCATCTTAGTCTGTTCAGGCTGTTGTCACAAACTGGGGAAATTATAAACAACAAAGATTCAAGTCCAGTCGAGGCACTGGCAGATTTTTCTGGGGGAGGCCTAGTCTCTGGTTCTTCTCTCTGATGGTGCCTTCTTGCTCTCTGAGGGGTCTCTGGCCTCTTTTACAAGGGCACTCATCCTATCCTCGGGAAGGGGCTCCTCCCTGTGACCCAATCACTTCCCAAAGGCCCCCCTCCTGATAGCACCACCTTAGGGGTTAAATTTCTACACATAAATTTTTTGGGGGACACAACATTCAGACCAAAGCAGCTGGCACAGAGACTAACCCTTCTGCAGTAGGTTGAGGTGGGAGCAGTTTGCAGCAGAGCCCCCATTTCTGGGCACTTCTAGGGTGGCAGCTGTGTTCCTGCCCTGCAGATGCAAACTGAATAGAGGTCCCCAGCCTCCATTCCCTCATGAGTCCAAGTTCAGTTTGCGCTGGGCAAAGAGGAGCCCATAGAGGAGGGTGGACATCACCTTGGCCTTTATGAAGTGCATTCTGGGGTCCGGACATAGTAAATGTGTGCTGATGTTTTGTGCTGGATGTGGGGTCAGGGAGCCCCAAGAGAATCCGCCAGCATAGCCCGTCCTGGCTTAGGGCTGGGTGCTTGAGGAAGGAGGTGCCCTATAGCTGCTGGGCGGGGGCGAACCAGGTGGTGGGGAGAGAGGTTTCTGATACAGGAACAGACAGCCCCTGGGCCCTCATCTCCTGGGGTTCCGGGGGCACATGGTGTCTCATGCTACATGCCTGAAAGATCACGTAAAGACACCAACAGGTAGAGTCAAGCCAGGCAGTGGAGAGGGGAGAATGTAAGCAGACAGGAGTCCAGGGCAGAGGAAGAACTGCGGCCAGGGCTGGTGCTGGCCAGAGAGACAGGGGGCCCTCAGGCTGCATTGAATTGGGGTGTGCAGAGGAGAGGGAGAAGGGATGCCAGGCCCGGGCAAGGGTGCAGAAGCTGGGGAGCAGGAAGCCCTTGACCCATGTCAGGAGCAGGGTGGCTGCTGAGCAGGGCTGGAAAGAACTGGGTGGTTCTGGGCTCAGGGAAAAGAGTCAAAAGTCCACGGGCAGGAAGCACAGGTGGCACTGTGTGGCTTCCCTCTAGCTAACCCAAGGGCAGCTGTCGCAGCTCCTGCCTGCTAGGAGACGGTCCTCTCTGCCCAGGGAGGGGGCCCAGCACCTCTGCATGGCAGTTCAGCACCCGCCCAGCAAGTTGCACCAGGAATTTGGCCCAAGTTGACTGAAACCTCAGGAAACGTGAACTCCACAGAGCAGGCGGGGCCTGTGGGTCCTGGGAATGCAGTCTTAGCAGGTTCGGGGCTGGGCGGGGGCTCTTTTTCTTGAGGTTTCACTAAAAACACCCTCAGATAACCTTTGCCACACAGCAGGCCTCCTGAGACGCCCAGCTGGCTGCTGAGAAAATACCAGAAGTGAGCAGCCACGCCCCAGAACCAGCCTGACCCCGGGCTTCTCCTTCTCAAGTGTGTACTTGGGCCTTTCTCTAAAACCCTCTGGCTCTGGAACTGACCCCCTCATGCGTGACCAGGAGCCCACCTTCTAGAGAGACCACGTCGCCCTTCGTC